TCCTACTTAATCACAAGAAAAAAACATTGCTGCAACCAACATTTGATCTGTAATGTTGTCTACATGTCTATGTTATCTATGTTTCTATTTTTATTAATTCCTTTTGTAAACTTTTTATTTATTTATTTTTTTTACAAAGGAGTTCTGTGGAGATTTTGAAGTCCAGCAGTTGTATGACTGTAACTGGATTGTGGTCAACTGCTCCACGCCTGCTAACTACTGTCATGTGATCAGACGGCAGATTCTGCTGCCATTCAGAAAACCGGTAAAGTGTAACATTGTTTGCGTAGATTATATTGAAGTCAAACATATAAGCCACTGCTTTGACAAAGATAAATCCTGGCATACTAGAAAATGTTCAGATGGTCATTTGACAACACTCAGTGATGTTTAGTAGTTATGTGTAGAGTCTTAAAACTCTTATTCCCTGCTGAAAGTAAAAATGTTTTCTTTGGGTCATATCTGTCTTTGGGTCATATCTGTTATTAAAATTACATCAAAGACTCAAATATGAAAGTGACACGAACTGCAGTTATGTCTCAGTGTGTTATTGCTTCATAATGACAGACCCTAACTCGTTTATATTGCAAATTTGCAATAAATCCTATATTAAATCTATATGTCTTTAATACTTCAAACCCCTAAAGTAGGACTAGTTTGAGTATAAAGTTTCGGTGTGTAAAGCATTTCTCCTTTTTTGAATATGCACATCTCTTTTTTCAGTCTCTCACAGTTTTTCAGCCACAGTGAATATCTTAACTGATCCCCTGTTGCAAATGAATGCAATGCTTCGCGGAGCATGAGAAAATTACTTCCTGAGCAAATTAGCGAGGGGGCCAACAGGGGATGGTATTGTTTGTTTTATATGAAAAACTCTGAAATTCTGGACTTGGTCGGCTGAGCACAAAGGGTTTTATTTATTTGTTAAAGAAATGTTTTGTTTTCCCAATGCTGCTGATGTGTGCTATATGGTGGCAACAAATTAGCGTGAAAAGACATAAAAACTTTTATCTCTGGAGTTTTTTCAAAGCACACAATGAAGATACGGATGATAGAATCAGTCTGTTGTTTGTCACTTTTCAGAAACTTTTTCCTTCTTTTCACAGCTGATCATTTTCACTCCAAAGTCTCTGCTGAGGCACCCGGATGCAAGGTCCAGTTTTGATGACCTCGCCAAAGGTGGTTTTACTTTTATTTTAAAATATGACCTATGAATGTTGGTGTACAGTGTTATGTAACATATCATATTCAATGCCTGCAGGCACTACATTCAAGAGGTTGATTCCAGATGAGAGTCCTGCGAGTCAAAACCCAGCCCAAGTGAAGAGGGTGATCTTCTGCACTGGCAAAGTGTACTATGAACTGGCTAAAGAGAGGAAACAGCTAAATTTGGAAAAAGACATCGCCATCATCCGACTTGAACAGGTGTTTAATCCCTCTCGTCTGTCTGAGCATATCATGTACTGTGTATCTTTCACACTGTGATGCAATTTTGTCACTTTTTCTTCTACGTATTTTTTGGCTTCTCCCTCAGATTTCTCCATTCCCGTTTGATCTGGTCAGAGCAGAGTCAGAGAAGTATGCCAACGCTGAGCTGGTCTGGTGTCAGGAGGAACACAAGAACATGGGCTACTATGATTATGTCCGGCCACGTTTTCTCACAGTGGTGGCTAACAAGAAAGCCATTTGGTAAGGGTTTCCACTCACTTGTAGCCTGATATGTACATGACAGAGGTAAACCCAGTCATCAGGTAAGGGATTTGAACTCCTGTCACTGGTGACAAACCTTCAGTGTCTCTTTCAGGTATGTGGGACGGGATCCTGCAGCTGCTCCTGCGACAGGGAACAAGTCCACCCACCTCAATGAGCTGAAGAAGTTCATGGACACAGCTTTCAACCTGAGCGCCTTCCAGGGGAAGGACTTGTAATTGAGAACTGGAACAAGAACCAGGCAGGAGGTGTAGTTTCATCTCCAACAACCGTAGTCTATTTATTAAGTCTTGATTGCACTTTTAGCTTTGTGACAATCTGGAGCATAGCCTCGTGTTTTTAGAAAAAATTATTTCAACTTCTGGTTATCATTTGTGAAAGTTCAGTCTGCAGCGCTAACTGCGGGTCCTCTTACATGGAAGTCGCCATGTTGCGCCGCCATATTTCTACAGTAGCCCAAACGGACAAACGGCTATTCAGAGCGCTTTTCGTCACCATGTTGAATACTTACAAAGAAGAAGTAGTAGTAGTAGTAGTACTTGTAGTAGTAATAGCAGTAGTACTCTGTTTAATTAGAAGTAAGAAGAGACGTGAAATTTGGACAGAGGACCACACGTATTGTTTAGCGCAAGAGCCGACAGAGCGTGTCAGCCACCATAGTTTCTCCTGCGCTCTTGCAAAGGGAGGGGTGAGCCGTGGTTAAGCCATTGGTTGCAAGTTGCAACCCTCACCAATAGATGCCACTAAAACTTACACACTGAACCTTTAAGTGATCATTATTCTATTGTGACTCCCATGCATAGAATCCCAACCAATGTGAGAAGCATCATTAAGCACAACTAGGCGAGAGAAGGCTAAACAACTTTGGACAGTCTTTCCAGGGCCTCATGTTTTAAATGCAGAATGAATTATCTTTCACTGTGACACGTTACGCAGGATAGAATAGAATTGTTGTGCATAGTTGTTCCCTGGCAATGCCCTATGTCAAGTGAAAGAGGTAACTTTTATTTATATAGCCCCAAATCACCCACTGTTTCCCTTTATCCTTAGAACCTTGATTTGTATGAGGAAAACCTCCCCCAAAAACACGGACCAACATCATGTAGTCTCATAACAGCTTTACTGGAAGAATCTGCACTTTATTAAATCAACACTAATTAGCACAGGGCTTTTATGGAATAACTACAGTGTATGTATACACCTCAATGTCTTGTCTAAAGAGAAGTGGTTAAGTAGCAATAGTACACTCTTTGTATCTTTAATAACGTTCACACACCAAATTTCAGATATGTGACAATCTTTGTTATTGGAGTAGCTTTAGTACTGTAGATGCCTCCATTGCTGCCATGCTTAATACTAGGATATATTAGTTGTATTTGTATTGTTTATTTCTTTTTTTTAGATTATGGATGGATGAATAGTAGAAGCTATGAGACGCACACAAACCACCAACTGGTGTACTTACACAGTGAATGCAAATCACATATCACAGGTATGAAGACTGTTATGAAATTGAACACATCAGTAGGTTTAGTGCCTGCATTTGCTTTGGCTACCTTTGCTGTTAGTGAAGCAGTCTGTATTTATTGTCACACCTCACTTCACCAGGAGACATGAGCCAGCTGGCACAGAGACTTGCAGCCATGTTTTCTACTTAGGACATAAGGCTCAGCTTCTTCTTCGAAGGCTGAGGGATGTACACTGCACACATACACATAAACAAAGCAAAGCATTTAGATGCTTTGAGAGCAATATTGACGCTGGTTGTCACATTAAAATCCCCAGGTATTTAACAGAATTGATATTAGTTACCACTGTGATTAGAAATGCTCCATAAAACTGTGCTTCCTGTTTGGTTATACTGTAGCTTACTGTTTCCACTTCCAGCTGGGAGATTTAACCATTAGCCATGCATAAACCTTTACATATTTAACGATTTAAAAAAGGTTGAATATGCCCACATATTAGTGTGGGTATTGAAACATGCACAACTTGATAGAGCTGTGCTTACACTGGGAATAATAAAATATGCAATAAAATATATGTAAGTTTATTAACATGCTTTTGTCATGATTTTTGGTGGTAGATGATGTTTGACAATGTAAAAAAGTATATGGTGTAAAGTGAGACTGTGAGGAAAAAACACATTCTTCCTTTTACAAATGAAAAGTTGAAATTGTAAGCAGTAATATTTACCCTTCATTTCAAGACACAAAGTTTTTGCTGTTACGGACTAACTCTGAACTCTGGTGTGACTAGTAACTTATGGTGGCTAAATGTTAGCCAAACTGTTTGCAAACTTGGGAAAGATAATGCTGTGTAGCTGACATTAGAGTCAGTGCTACTGTTATAAATACTACTGAGCAGGTGGTTTCATTTACTGTTTTTCCATACTTGTTACTTGTGGCCACAGTGGCCGTTCACCTGAGAAAAAGTTCCTATACAGTCTTGCTTTAATGAAACAAATACTAGGTGAAATACTCATAGCCTTAAAGGGGCACCAGGGTTAAACTTGGCTGTCGGGCCCCTATTGACCTCCAACCCCACACCTATCACCCACTGTTCACCATTTGTGTACCCTGTCTCTCCCAACTTCTCATTAAGTAACGTGCAGACAGCGGACTATATGTCAGATTCATAATTTGCCTAGAGACCCAGAAATCAACCCATAAACCTACTACCATTTTTTTTTTTCTTTGTGTCAGTTAGAGTGTGTTAATTAAACATAATTTAGGAATAAACATAACCCTGGAATATGCTCCATGTGAACCTAATGAAAACAAAAATGATAAATGTCTTAAAAACCATATTTTGACACAGGCACCCTCTTAAAAAAGACTGGATGACAAGATTAATAATGCAGGTCCCAGCTTAGTTGAAATTGTCCTCTAATGATGCAAATCTCTTACAAATCTGCACTTAATCAAATTACTAACATGCAGTGTACACTGTTAAAACTGTTACTTGGATCTAACTCAATAAAATTAAGACAACATTTTCCAACTATTTTTTTCAAGTTTAGTGAACTAACTGATATTTTGAGTAAAGACAACTTAATAATGTGAATTTCAATGTACGCAAAAATATTAAGTAGCATTTTCAGAAAAAGCCAATAAATTGAGTACTATCAATGTAGAAAATATCATCATTTTATCCACATTAAACTTAATTAAAATAGGTAACTTAAATGAAAAAAATAAGTAGATAATGTTCTGATTTATTAATTTTGATCAATTTACCCTCTTTGTTTTGAAAGTGTAAATAGCTTCAAATAAATAGTTGCTACTATGTCAATTTCCAACATTTATTAAATCATTGCCATATCCAAAACAGTAGCAATGAGCTGGACAGTATAAACATTGGTATTCAGGCATTCAAGAAAACATGCCCTCAGCAAATAAAGTGCAGGTTAGTGGAACACCTTCACAGTAGTTCTGTGTACATAATGTTACAAAATTTTAAAATTAAGTAACAATTTACAAACCAAATTCAAAATGAGCTGGATAGTGTTAACAATCAATAACATCTATTCATGCATTAAAAAAAGCATGACCTCAACTTATAAAGTGCAGGTTAGAAGAACACCTTCAAAGTATATTTTACTGTGTGTACATACATAATATTAAAACATTTTAATATCAAGTTAACTGGCACTTGCTATTTTTTTAACAATTCACATGCCATATCCAAATAGTGGGAATGAGCTGGACAGTATAAACAATCAAGAACTTCTGTATTCATGTATTAAACAAAATATGACCTCAGCTTGTAAATAGTAGGTTAGTAAAACACCGTAAAAGGATAGTTCACTTCAAAATGAAAATTCTGTCATTTACTCACCCTCAAGTTGTTTTAAACCTGTATGAATTTCTTTCTTCTGCTGAACACAAGGAAGATATTTTGAAGGATGTTCTTCCATAGTCTTTTTATTTTTTTCTAATATGGAAGTCAATGGGTCCAGTTAACTGTTCGGTTACTGACATTCTTCAAACATCTTCCTTGTGTCCTGTAGAGGAAAGAAATTCATACAGGTTTAAAACAACTTGAGGGTGAGTAAATGAGGACAGAATTTTCATTTTGAAGTGAACTATCCTTTTAACAGTACAGTGTGAACATAATATTGAAACATTTTAAACACTAACATTACAGGTCACAAGCATGACCATCTGACCTCAACTTGGCATAATACCTTCACAGCGTGTGTGAATATTTTGAAACATCTTTAGTCAAACATCTCACTGATCTCACCTACTGACCAGTTTTTAAAGTGCAGCTTCACAGCAGGTCTATTTTGTGTGTATAAAATATAATTACTTTTTCACACCAGGAAGTATGACCTGTGCACAGTATAAAACATGACAAGGATAAACCATTACAACACCCTGAATGTCCAATTATGTCCAATATAACATTGGACATAACACCCATTATGTCCAATGTATAATGATGTTGAACAGACAAAGAAAACAGCTGTTCACAAGTGCAGTGACAGTCATGTCTGAGTGCCTAGGCAAGGAGTTTGTTTTTCAGGGTCATGAACTTGGGGCTTGGTTTTGGGCGCAGTGTGTCAAGTCCCACGAAAAGTCTTTGAAACACCTCAAATGTTTTGGAAAGCTTGGATGGATACTCGAGATTAAGTGCATATGTCAACCCAACCAGGAAGCAGCATGCTTTGGCCACGTTTCCAAGATTGGTAAGGACTGGTATTCCCTCAATGATGATTGCTACTGCATCTGGCTCACGGCAGACATAGATGCTCATGTTCTTAATTTTCAGGTCCTCATGAACAATGGTCTCTGCGGCCCCCTTTTGAGATACAAGATAAAGTATTTAAGACAAACAATCTCATTTATTAAAAAAATAAATAAATGCATAAATAATCCACTACCTGCCAAATGCTGGTTCATTCAGTTCACATTAAAGGGAAACGCTTGCCAAAATTTAACCTAGGCTATTTTTGTTAATCTACCAGAGTCATTCTTTCTTGTAAAAGCATAATTAGAATGGAAATGCCACTCTCAAGATAGACTTTTTTCATATGAAGTCGAAATGCCTTTTGAATGGGAGTGCTAGGGGCACTACAATGATGGCATAAAAATCACTATTTTTAAAACACTAAGAAGGCTCAACACAACATGAAACTGTAATTGAAGTGTCACCAGGGGCTCTACACATGGACTCGAGCATTGACAACATTGTGTACCGTATTTTCCGCACTATAAGACGCACCTTCAATGAATGACCTATTTTAGAACATTTTTCATATATAGGGCGCACCGGATTATAAGGCGCATAAGATACTGCAGTCAAACGTTTGACTGGGTTTGCGTTATGCATCCACTAGATGTGCCAAAGGGAATGTAGCGAATGCGCGGCGCCGGAGGTGAGGCGTTTTAGTAAGCGTGAGCGCGCTGGGGCGGGCACGTAACTTGCATTCGCAGTCTGACTCATGAGTATTCATGTGTGGCGGCTCGCTGACAGCAACAGCAGGCTGTTTGAATGAGACGACCCGGTTGTCAATGTTGTCAATGCTCAAGTTCATGTGTAGAGCCGCTTTAGTGTTTTAAAACTAGCAATTTTGATGCAATCATTGTAGTGCCCCTAGCACACCCATTCAAAAGGCATTTTGACCTGAAAACGAAAATACGGTCAATCTTAAAAGTGGCATTTCCATTCTAATTATGCTTTTACAAGAAAGTATGACTCTGGTAGATTAGCAAAAATAGCCTAGGTTGCAATTTGGCAAGAGTTATCCTTTAACAGTCCGCACAATTTAAACATGTTCACCAGACTGACCCAAACCTGCTTTGAGACAATACTTACACAGTAATCCGAGATAAGCTCCTGTCCACTCTCTCCCATATACTCAAAGAGGCATCTCAGAGTGACATCTCTCTTCTTCACTGTAGTGGCACTTGGGTCCTAGTTAATAGAACAATAATGAATAACTTATTTTTGTTGGTAAATTCACTCCAACCCTGTAATTACTGTAGGTCTGTATTATTTTTTCTTTTTTATTCATTATAATATATTAATAGTAATAACACGAGACAATTTAGAAAAAAACTGGCTAATTAACAAAAAAACAACAAAACAAAAGAAAAACCACCCAGATAAGCAAGATGCTGAAAAAACTGAAAAACAAAACCACTCAATTGATTAATATCGTACCTTAACTTTGTAACCAATTTTTCCCTACCTGTATCAGATCCATCAACAACTTTTTGATGCGTTGACCAGTTGCTCCTCCCTTGGCACTAAAGAGTTCTAGGAGCTTTGGGGTGCATTTGTCCAGCTGTGACATAAACGTCGCTTCCAGGGAAACTGCAGTACATCTTCGGAACTCCTCGTTTACCTGTAAGACAGCAAATGTTTGACTTATTTAAGGGGTTTTAAAGATTAATCTACTATCTCATGTCCAAGTCACAATTTCTAAAAAGTTCTCAGAAGTGAGTAGTGTCAGCAAAATCTGAATGATAAGTCACTTACCTGGAATGGTCCTTGAATTCTGCCACACCAGGAGACTTGGTAATAACTTCCTGTCTTCTCCAGCTGTATGTTCTGGCCATCATATCATTTGTGCTCCTGACAGAGTCCTTTGTCTGATGGGCAGCAATTAGGTCAAGTCTCAGATTCTCAAGGGTGTCATCTGTTTCACCATGTGGGTGTGAGGGCAAGTAATTCACCTCTGTCCTCTTTGGTTTCTTGACATTTTTAGCAGCTTTTCGCTCATCACTTGACTTGTTTCTCAGTGAGTTTATCAGGAGTTCAGTGCTTCCAAGTGCTTTCCGTTTTGTCCGGTAGTTTCCACACTTATACTTTAGGCTTACCTGCCACCCATAAATTCCATTAAAAGATCCGGGCTCCTTTAAGCAGGGATGCTTTGCAACTAGTGCCTCTGCCACTGCACATCTCTGGGCATCATTGGGGTAAGCTGTGTAGAAAAACATGGCCTCTGCCAGGCGCTCCAGGATGTCTGATTTGATACTTGGTGATGTCATAGGGGTGCCATCTCTTAAATAAATCTCGTTTCCTTGTCTTAAGGCCAGTTCAGTGTTGTGTGAGAAGGTTGGAATTGGAAACACAGCAAGCCATGGGCTCTGCCTTTCAGAGGGGGATGGACTCGGAATGACGGTATCCACTGAGTTCCCACTGAGACTCGTACACTCACAGAGAAAGCTGACATCAGAGGCATCTGGGGTGCTTTCCTGGGGAACAACGGTCAGCGTCAACTCCAGCGGTGTATACACAACTTTAAGTGTGCACTTATCTTTCAGCTCATTGGTAGATGTTAGTGTGAAGAAGTCATCAAATTCCTCATCTTTGTATTGAAGACTTATATCTGTGGGGATGGAAAAATGTTCTTTGACAGCTGCAACCAACTCATTCACAGTTGAGGGCATGCCACTGCTGAGAGTGAGTTTCTTGATTTCATGATCGATGAGGACCCGGAATCTCACAGTTTGCTCCATTTCTAAGAAGAGTTATGTTGGAGACAGATGTGGCGCTTCAATATCACCATTTGCTTTCCTGCAACAATATAGGCAGACAGAGGATATACATCAGTAAGGCATCGTTGCTCAACGAGTTATGTGGTCTGTCTTCTCCAGATAATATCCGCGATAATGTTCATCAAACCAGGATATCTGTGTTCTCACAATAAAATACACTCTTTCCTCGATAAGTGCAATTTGAAGAATCACTGCAAAATCAGGAAGACCTGCAGTAGAACCAAAGGCCACAATCATGCCTTTTGAGTACCTCGATCCCTGATAGGTGACTGTGTCAGCCAGCTAAACATGAGACTGAGAAGGAGATATATGCCTGATTGACTCCTGAACATTTACATGTAGGACATCCACTGTTACTCTTACAACACTAAGAGCAGGCAAAACTGTTGTGGAATGCAGGTTGTGGCTTATCATAAGCTGGTGCTTTGTAGCCAGGGACAGGAGAATGTTCTTGAAGTTGCCAGTATGCCTTACAATCCGTTTAAACTGGCTGTGTTTTGCTTCGAACCGCATCGTCCAGAAAGCTATAACTGGTCCAAAAGCTTTTATCAAAGCAGGATAGTGCTCTAAAAAGTGGTGCTTCGGGATTAATTCTTCATTAGGGAACACTTCCTGGAATCTGTGTCGGTGTTCAGAAATTTTTGAGTCAAGATATGCAATGCTTTCCTCATTATGGACTGGACCCACAACAAGCTCAACAATGTCTTTTAAAGACATCAACAGAAGCCAGGCTGGATCACTCAAAGGTATTTTGTGTCCAATAATGAATGGCAACAGTCGTATGAGGGACCAATTTTCATGCGCGTTTCCTCCAATCTTGTTTCTTGAGGAGAAGGTAGCAGGCACTGGCTGAGGAGAGTTAGTTTTGTCAGACCACTTATATGGAAACTGTGAAATAGCACTGTTAAGTTCACTAAATGTGAAATATTTCTTAGAAATAAAAACACTGAAGCACAGACCCAGTTCTAAGGGAACAATCCCTTCAAAAACGTCATGTAATATGTCAGGTGGATAGCCAGTGACACAGTGGAAATAGC